TTAACAACTGGATATAACATTTCTCCTGACCACAAAAGAAAGAAAGAGAGAGAGAGAGAGAGAGAGAGAGAGAGAGAGAGAGAGAGAGAGAGAGAGAGAGAGAGAGAACTGGGAGATTTTGTGTGTTTTTGTTCTTTTTTGGGGGGGGGACATATTATTAATTTACGAAATATTTAAACTGGTAGCATGTCGAAACGAATGTTCTTTAAAAAGAAAATAAAAGCGTGATTTTTCCTTTTTGAAATAAGCATGAAACATAACAGGACCTATCGGTCTATTCTTGGTCATTGCAATAAATGAGGAACAAGGAACGAATTTTTTTTTTTTTTAAATTATTTTTAAAAAAAATTATAGTAGAAGGTTTTACGGCGCTCGCAACTGCATATAAGGTCATATGAGCGCCAAGGGGTGGGTGTCAACAGAGAAGTCTTTACAGGGAATCAGACTTACTCTGCTCACCTCTCTAGCTTCAACAGCACAAGGTTTGCTTCAACTATCAAGGCACCCGTAAATAGCAGGTCACAAGAGTGACAAACATACACAAGAAGTAGAGGAAAATGACAATAGTAAGGATTAGGAAAGAAAAAGCAGCAGCAGTTCCCTGTTGTAGATCAGGCACAGTTATGAGCGTGACAGGATGAATGAGCCCATTTACAATTCTACTGTGCTTGAACGAGAAATGTACCCCCTATGGGAATGGCCTCTAAAGACACTACAACAGTCAGTGGCACTGCGCCTGGGGGGAAACGAATGCGAATGAAAGAAAGAAAGGGCACTGAGAGAGCTGGAACAGCAGATAGAGACTGAGTCCTAGGCCTCATCAGAACATCAAACAGCAGGAGAGGTCCACTTGAACTGCTTTTGTGTGTGTGTGTGTGTGTGTGTGTGTGTGTGTGTGTGTTGTGACAGCATCTCCACGACAACGGAAATCTCTGAACACCGAGAAACTGAGGAAACTAAAGTTTGGCGTTAGTTGAATACCAATCTAGATTTAGATCTAGATCTATAACCATAACTTGCAACAACAATATTCTTAAAAAGTAAAGGGCAGCACCAAAGTACATCAATCTCGCACAAAGTGATACGAGAGGAGATTTAAATAAAATCCAATATTGTACTGTGCAGAAAAATTATGACCATTTCTGGGCGATCAAAGCATAGACTATAGACTTGTACACCTAGATGAAGCACCGTCATGGCCGCCGCTCTACCACCGCAACTAAAATTTCGTTGATAGGCATTGTCACCATGGATTCTGCTAGACACCTGAATGAAGGGGGAAAATTCGGTCCCACAGTAGTCAAGTAAACACGGCAAGATCCCCAGTTGCCCTTAATTTGTCTCAGATTGAGTCAAATGGTGAGTTTCCAATGAAACGGAAGTTTTTGTTAGAGTATACATTCTATGCTAGAATACCATGCACAAGTCTATGGGGAAAGGTAAAGTTCTCGTTTTGAACTCTCAACCGGAAAGATTTCTACCGGCGACCGGCAGATCGTTTACTACTACAGTAGCAATACTGGCAATACCTAGTAACGATACTACCAGTATGGATGTAGAAGTAAATGTAAAAATATAATTGTACATTTTGAAAGAAAACAAACATAAGCCTAAGCTGAGATTATTAAACCCATTTTTTATATTTTACATTGGCATAGTGAATTCAAATCATATTAGACTCTTATACACATAACTCAGCTATATTTGATTTCAAGGATTTCTACGAAAACACCCATCTCCTCTCGAACACGAATTATCCTCAAGACGAGAATGCCATATATCTTAATAAATTATCTTTTCTATCTTTCTTCATTGTGTTTGCGTAGCTCATTCTGTCATAAGTTTATTCCGATTAGGGAGGAACTTGTATTAGATCTACAAAACTAAAATCTACAAACAACCAATATTTTATCTTACCTGCTAGATCTATATGTTTCTTAAAATTAGACTTTCAGTCATAACTTTTGTCTCTTTGTTTTGTTTTTGTTTTTTGTTTTTAATCCTGTGATTGCATTGCTGTCTTAGAATAAATGGCTTTCAAAGATTTATTATTCCCCGCACGAAAATTATAAAACTTTGTTCCGCGCAGTATTCTGAGATATTTTAGTTTACCGTTAAATGAATCGATATCTCATTGTTTATATTTCTCTTCTATATTTCGATACCAATCATACGACGTTGTTGGTAGTTGTGGCTGCACTTTTCTCAAACTTCATCATTCATCACTCATCATATCATACTCGGTGCCGTGTTCTGGTCTTGTGAAAGGGAAGACTGCCGTTACCTTGCCATATCTGTCTGCATTGTGACAACTCTTCTTGGGGTCTCTTCATTTCCTAGCAGCACAATGGTAGCGAAAGGTGCAAAATCTGTACCCGAAAGTCTTCCGACTGAGCTCAAACATCCATACTATCCATGGGACTTGAAACTGCCCCATTATGTACCGAACGAATTGGAAACAACAACAATTTTGGCTGTTTTGGGTGGTTGTTCAGCTCTTGTAGTACTTTTTGCTTGGGTGGTGTCTGGTAATCGCAAAGAACCATTTTGTTTCTTGAGAAGGCTCACACTGTGTTGGTTTCTGCTGTGTGCTTTCATTCACACTGTACTTGAAGGCTACTTTGCAGTGTACCATGCAACCTTAGCAGGGCACAAAACAGTCCTTGGAGAAACATGTAAGTGTGTACAGGATAGGCCCTTCTACTTCTGTTTGATCTAGTTGGCCAAGGTAAATTTTTACTTTCACTCTCGCACACAGATGCACTGCTTCAGTCAGGGGTCAAACTGCAGTACTGATTGCTGCAGATCACACATAGATATCTATATAAAGCCACTAAAACTGTCGCAAATCAATTATTTGTTAGCAAAATTTCAAATCTAACTGTAAAATATCAAATTATGGGTTAAAACAGGGCATGCCCCGTGTAACCCCCCAGATTTTCTTTTCCTCAAGAACCCTCGGATTGGTCCAAAGCATGTCTATCTCGATTAAGAACAATCAGATATTTAAAAAACTATTCATTTGCGACGGAAATGAAGTCGATATTCGTGTTCAGCGCATCAATATTTAATAGAAAATGGACAGCTGATAGAGGTAAGTGTGAGACGGGAGGGAAAGTAAAAAAATACCTGGCCAAGTCATTTGAATTTAACATATATATATTAGTTCAGCGGAACAGCCTGACAATGTGCTGAAAATATTAGATCTAAATCTAGTCTATATGTAGATCTATGTGTGTCTTTATTAAATGCTCTTTCTATCCCCAGAAAGATCGGCGCAGAATTCACATTCATATGAGTATGTTACCTCTATTTTTATACAATGCCAAAACTTAGCCCTGGTCCTTCGGAGCCGATGTTCCCCGATCAGCCTATTTCAGCACCTCGCCTTCGTTCCAGTCGTGTGCCAGTCCGGCCCTGGCTCAGCACACACGTGCTGAGCGTCATCCGCATGATGACTGGGTATACCCACAGCTCAAGTGTGTGTGTATGCATCTGTCTGTTTGAGTTTGTGTGCGTTTGTGGCCTAGATTACTTGTTGAACCGCCTGCGTTGGTTCGTAGCGAGGCAAATACATCTCATTCAAAACACACCAAGTCAAGTTGGTAGCTTTAGATGTTCGTCCAATGAGAATGAAAACAAATCGACCCACTTAGACTTTAGGTGCTCGAAAGGATAGTCAGGAAACAAGACTTCCATATTTTTGTGTACAAAATATTTCAAATCATGAGCTTGATTTTTATAAATATAAAATGATATTACCTGATTATATAAGCTTTTAGAATACCATTGTGCAGGTAAAAAAAACAGTTTGAGAGCAAAACATAATTAGGAAATTGACCTATAGATCCTATTATATTACTCCCTTTCGAATGGCAGATCATTCGTAACAAGAGCGTGTAAAAAGGTCAATCGAATGTGTGTAAACTACTCGTAATGACTTATCAGCTTTTATGAGAAGGGGTTATTCATGTGTTCGAAACACTTTATAAATGGCTGCGGTTATATAGTGCGTACAACTCTAATTACTTATTATTGTTATTTTGTACCAATTATAACCAGACAGAGTTATTCGTACAATTATAATTCGAATTTTGGAGGTTGTTGGTAAAAATAAGCCTAGATCACTAGATCTAGTCATCCAGTTGGTTCTCCCCTGGGTTGAGCATCAATATTAATAACTTTGACCAGGCCTAAATTGGTAGGCCTAAAAGGAAAAGTCGGCTAGATCAGTACTTTTATTAAGGGAAGTCCTGGGTCGGCGATCACAGACAATTAATATCTATAAAATTTTTCTAAACCATCCAACTTTTATTTTTTGCGGAAAAACATCCTTTGACATCTGTTCTATGAGTTCACAATGACGAAACTGTTGAAAAAACACCCTAAATGACCTAAAAAGGCGTTTGAAAAGTGCAAATTTCACAAAAAATTCTTTTTAAAATCCCTGTTTTTTCTGTTTTTCTCAAAATCTACTTTTTGACATGGCTGTCGTTATTCTCACCCAGGGTGAAAATAAAAATGTAAGAATAATGTACATTATAATATTTTATTGTTATTCTCACCCGGTCTGAGAATGCACTGGATTTTTATTCTCAGGCTTACCTGTGTGTTGACTTGTTGAGAACTGGTAGGCCTACATGTAGGCTAAATAGATCTAGGATGCTAAAAAATAATTTGTGAATTGTAAGACTTGAGTGACCGTTCATGACCTGCCCCAGAGCGCTGGCCGATTTTTCTAGGCTCCCGCGGGGATTATTATTGTTTCATTTTTAAGAATCTTTAGAGTATACTATGCATGCATAAATCTTCACCAAAACCCTAGACAAGTGTATATTCTAAATTCAGAAAGGAATTCACTTGCCAGAGTAGTATGTTTTAAAAAATAATAGCCTTAACACTTAAACTGAAAGCTGTTTAATTGATATAAATGTTAGTAATAGTTTGTCATTGTAATCTTAGAATTGGCATTTAATTACAACACCAAAAAAAAACATGTTTAATTGTTATCCCTAACAGAACCCACGATTATTTTTAAGGAACGCAGCTAGGCTTATTTTTTCTTAATTTTGATTGGTTAAACCATTCAAGAGTAAAATTTTCCATTACAGAACCAATAAATAGCAAGCAACAAAACGTGACGCTATTTGGTCAAAAGATAAGGTATTCCCCCAAATCGACAATAGCTGTCTCCAGCGCTTGAGAGCTGGCCCGCCCGTTGGCGATTTTAGTCGGCTCGCAGGCTCAGCGGAGTGAGAGAGGGAAGCGAGTTTTGTCACCTGGAGCGCTCAGTGACTCGGGTCCTACTCCTATGATGCCCGAAACGGAAAAAACCGGGTGAGAATAGTAGGCTGTCGTTATTCTCACCCGCGATAAAAATAGTATCAATTTTATTCTCCCCCCGGGTGAGAATAATATCCAGTTTATCCTCATCCCGAGTGAGAATATAATCACTCCGTCAACTTATTTGAAGATCGAGTTCAACACAAGCAGAGTTGACTGTACACATTTTTATTTGGGTTTATTTGCTACTTTCGGTTTATGTTATCTTAATCTACTTGGGTGCTGGGGGCTCGGATTTTTCCCCCAGACTTGATTCTTAACTCTCTCTTCTGGGCGTAGTACTTTGGGGTCTAGAGACATTAACTTGTGGCTCGATTTGGCTATGCAGGTGGTGTACAAAATAACTTCATAGAAGCATAACCGTCACTCAAAACATAACTTATGATATATCAAATTGAAGGAAATCCACACTCCAAGCGCCACCAACTAAAATCTATTCCATGTATAATATCAAACTTCATTTTACAAATTTGTAGTATTACATCTTTTCTTCATTCTGTGAAGATTGGATGAAAAATGGTGGTTATTTTAAAAAGTTTATATTTAGAAAAAACGTTTTTCGAGATAACGGGCGATTAAAAAAAATAAAAGATTGTCTCTATGGGGAAATGGTGGTAACAGACAGGCCCGGTATGGGAAAAAATACAGCTTTAGGGGGTTCTTATGCGATGAAATAGTTTTAAGATAGGCTGGAGAAGGTAAAAATGCCTGCAACTTAAAATCCATAGTTTTGAACCAAATCTGAACTTTCGGGGTGTAGCTCCTCTTCTCCCCCCCCCCCCCCCCCCCCCCCCCCCCCCCCCCGCCTTAAGGGAGGGTTCTCAGAAGAATGCATATTTTTAATTGGTCATGAAGTGATTAGTTCGCAGGTCAGGGATCAAACTCTGAACCTTTTGAGTTGACAGTCTGTGAACACCGTACTTGTTGAGCTACTGAGCCTCCCAGATAAGTGGCAGTTTGAGACGTTTGGTTGTTGCAACATTTTGAAACAGACTTTTAAAGAATTTTTCTTCTCCTATTTCCCAGGGAAAGAGTACAGCATGAGTGATAGCCGATACCTGAGGTGAGTGCTTTACAAACACGTTTTCCAATAAGTTGGTTCCACATATAAAAGTGGTACCCCTTTTTTGTTGGGGGGGGGGAGGGTGCATAAGAAATAGTTATCGTACGTGAGATGAAGTTGAAAAAAAAAACATGCCTAGGTTAGTCCTTTTTTTTTTTGTATGTGTTTTATGACGCTCACAACTGCATAAGGTCACATGAGCACGCGGGACACATTATACATTTTAAATTTTGCCCCGGGAGACGGCCGAATCTTACTCTTATATCAATTTTGGAGTACCAAGGGATCTTTAACGATCTCAACTTGCACACAGGACCTCCAAGATTTTTCTCCTTTTTCCGAGAAGGCTAGGTGTTAGATTTTACCTACCGTTAGGTCAGGGGTGTGGCTGAAAGACAACAGTAAGAAGGAACCAAGGAGTAGCAGTAGAAAGGGTGCAGAAAGAGTCAGGAGCCCAGAGGAGAGGGCAAAGGGGGGAGGAGTGGGGGCAGAAATTGGGGAACGAAAGCAAACCACAGAACATGGTTAGTGAGCGGGTAAGGGGGTGAAAGGAGAACATTTTTACAGAAGAAAATTTTCCGTCACTGTCAGGTTTCGAACCTGGACCCTATTGAATGAAAGGCAAACGCCTTGATCTCTCGACCATGAAGGCCCCCGGCTACAGTCTGAATGAGAAACTTGAACTTGTTTTATTAATCTTTACTTGTCAAAGTTTCACGTAATGTTTAAATGTGTACCAGTGGTGTGTTGGTCCCAGGTCTGTGCCACAATATGCAAGGCTTGCTAATAGAATCAGTTATTTCTCCCAGTCCATAAATGGAAAGATGTAGGTGGAAAATTGACACGTTGGTCAAACCTGTAGATTTTCAACTAATGCCATTTTCTTCAAGTGAATTATTATGTCTTTTATGTTTTATTTATACACTTATGAATATTACAAACTATAATAATAATAATAATTGCATTTATATAGCGCATATCCATGCTCAAGAGCATGCTCTATGCGCTTTACAACTATTATTACCCCTGCAGACCCTCGCTGAGAACACTCAGAAACATTCTCAGCTTCCGCGGAAGCATACAGTGCAAGCTGCGGATTTCACGCGCTCAAACACTATCAAACTGACAAGATCGTTCACTCTCTATAGCCGGGTACCCATTTCCGCCTGGGTGAAGTGAGGAAAATGTGTGCAAAGTGCCTTTCCCAAGGACACAACGTCGGGCCCCTGACGGGATTCAAACCCACGACCTTACGGTTGCGAGTCCGAGAGCCTAATCACTAGGCCACCGACGCCACAACCTATAGATTTGATGTAGCTATGTGAGAATGAGATAATTCTCGCTGTCCACAAATGGAGGTATTAGCCCAAAATCGACACTATATTTATAGATCGCCATTGATGCCATATTCTTTAAGTATAGTATAACATGCCTTTTATCATTTCATACTTATAAATTGTAAAAACTTCACCTATAAGCGTGATGTATCTAGTTCCATTGGACTCAAATTGAGAAGTAACTCATTTTGTCTGCACGCCTCACATACATGTCCTCTGGGTTGAACTGAAATGGGAGATGTAACTCAATTTTGCCAGCACACCTCGCGTTGAGTAACACGAGAATGCTAGATGATCTTACGTCGTCGTCATTTTACACTGCGAATGATGAACTGCCATGTCAGCTGGTGAGAAATTGAAACTGATCAATGACTTCAACTTCAAAGTTGAATAATAGGTTGAGATGGTTTGTTATAATGTGGCAGAGTAGCTTTGTAAGTGGTGCTGTGTTAGCTAATTTGGAGCTCTTTTGCTGCTACGTTTGGCTTTTTATGGGAAAATGAGGTTTTGGGAAGCATCATTGATGACAAATAACTCACCATTAAACCATGATCATGATGAGATAAAAGGTTTTGTAAAATTTAAAAAAAAACTATTTCTCTGGTCTTATTCCCTTTGGACCCAAACTCTTACATCTTGTATGTTTGAAGCTAAAGGAGATGGTTTTCTCATCCTTTAAAAAAAATATTAACCCCATGCTCATATGACTATGCAGTTGCAAGCACCATTAAACTTTTACTTAAAACTACTCAACTAAATTATTAACCCTCTGGAATGTTTTGATGGCCAGGGTAAGTTTCCAGTGAGTGACAGCTCGTACTTGTGAGATAGACAGAAAGACTGGAATCTTTTCTCTACCTTCTGTCGTTCTTTGCTCAAGGGTGCCCTCTGGGCGTGCTGAGTGATTGCTCAGCTGATTTTTTTCTTGACTTCAGTGTCTTTATGCCATTCCCAAATGGGGAATATTAGTTTAGTTTAACATGTTCTTATGCACAATAAAAATTGTATATTGGCTGATTTATCTATGTCATGCTCATACTGTGCGGAACAACGAAGGAGGAACTGCTGCTATTTCTTCCCTCATCCTTACTTATACTATCGTCATTTTTTCTCTACTGTCTTTTTGTATGTTTGTCACTTTCTTGTGAACTGCTTTTTCTGGGGTGCCTTGATAGTTGAAGCAGACTTTGTGCTGTTGAGGCTTGAGAAGTGAGCAGAGTAAGCCTGATTACCCATTTAGACTTCTCTGTTGACATACACCGCTTGGCCCTCATATGACCTTGTGCAGTTGCGAGCGCCGTAAAACCTTCCTGAAACAAACTAACAGTGCGGATGGCTTTAGTTCATCCCACTTTTTCTTTGGTGCCCCAACTGTTGTTTTTGTTGAACCCGATGTGTATGCATGTCTTTTTGATTAATTTTGACTGGCTTTGTTGGTAAATATATATTTTTCGCTGCTCTGTTCCTTCTTTTTTTTTCTTTCAGTAACATCAACCTCCCTTTTCCCCACTAGACTGGTGGTTATCCAATACATACTCTCTAAACTATGACATACTAACTGAAGTAAAAAAAAAATTTGAAATGAATCTTGAAGTGGGTGGTTGGCGGGCGCTCTGGTGTGGTTTGCTCCTTCTTTCCTATCAAACATCTATCATCCTTTTCTCCCCTCCTTCTTTTTAATGTTTATTACTCCCTTGTAACACCTCTAATCTTCTGGTGCTCATGTGACTTTATGCAGTTGCAAGTGCCGTAAAACCTCTACTAAAAATTAAAAACTAAAGAACCTTTTTTTTAAAATTCATCATTACTTATTATGAATGATAATAATTGATGATAAGTGGCATTTATGTACAGTGCATATCCTTAATTTTATAATGCACAATGTGCTTTACGAGACATATTATATTCATATTAATAGCCTATAATTGCTTAAAAATACATGTCACGTTTACACACAAGGGTATGTAAAATGACACAAAATATGTATCAATGTATAGGTACATTAATACAGGAATATAAAGCAGTAACAAATGTGTATAGAAACAATTTATGTAAAATAGTTTTTGAAATATTGATCAAATGAAAAACGGTAACCAATCCCAAGGAATATAAGATACTGTTACTGCAAAACATATCGGTTCACGAAACAGCGTTTTGGATAATATGATGGTACTGAAAAATACTCAAAGTATAGGTAGGTATCACGATGATCTAGCAGTCTTTCCCGCTTTGCTCTTCCACCCCTCCCCTCAATCTTAATTTTACTCTCTCTTTCTGTCTCTCTCTCTCTTTCTGTCTGTTTCTCTCTCTCTCTCCTGTGTCTCTCTCTCTCTCTCTTTCTCTGTTTGTCTCTCTGTCTCTCTCTCTCTGTCTCTGTCTCTCTCTCTCTCTCTCTCTCTCTGTCAGTGTCTCTCTCTCTCTCTCTCTGTCATTGTCTCTCTCTCTCTCTCTCTCTCTCTGTCAGTCTCTCTCTCTCTCTCTCTCTCTCTCTCTCTCTCTCTATCTCTATCTCTATCTCTCTCCCTTTGTGCGTGTGCGTGCGTGCCTGCCCAATTTATGTAAATTGTCTAGTGTGCTGCACAAATTTATGTATTGGTCGAGTCATATGTTATAGTGTGTAGCTGTATGGGCCAAAGGACTTTCAAATCAATAAAATCTATAAAAATCTAAGAATTGAAAGTAAAATAATAAAATGTGCCCCCTGTCTCTCTGTCGCTGTCTGTCTCTCTTTCTCTCTCTCTCTCTCTCTCTCTCTCTCTCTCTCTCTCTCTCTCTCTCTCTCTCTCTTCCTCTCTCTCTCTCTCTCTCTCTATCTCCCTCCCCCCCTCTCTCTCTCTCTCTCTCTCTCTCTCTCTCTCTCTCTCTCTCTCTCTCTCTCATATGGCTGTAGCTGAGAACTGGAGAAAGTTCTATATAGTCCTTTTCTCTCTTCTTTCTTTCTTTCTTGTGTTTGTTACTCTCTTGCAACATCTGTAATCTTCGGCACTAATACTAATATTACGTTGTTGTGTTGCAGTGTCGTAAGACTCTTACTAAAAAGACCTGTTCACAGTAGTGTGTTGACTGTATTTCTTAATGTCCACAGCTCTGACACTTTCATGCTGTGTTGACTACATATGTGGGTGGTTGGCGGGTGCTATGGTGTGGTTTGCTTCTTCTTTCCTGTCAAACATCTATCGCACCCAGCGGGGCAGTGCCACTGACTGAAGTGTCTTTAGGCCATTCCCAAAGGGGGGACATTTCTCGTTCACGCATAGTAGAATTGTAAATGGGCTGACTCATGTCACGCTCATAACTGTGCCTGATCTACAACAGGGAACTGCTGCCTTTTCTTTCCTGATCCTTACTATTGTCATTTTCCTCTACTTCTTTTGTATGTTTGTCACTCTTTTGTGACCTGCAATTTCCGGGGTGCCTTGAAAGTCGAAGCAGACCTTGTGCTGTTGAAGCTAGAGAGGTGAGCAGTCTAAGTCTGATTCCCTGTAAAGACTTCTCTCTTGACACCCACCCCTTGGCGCTCATATGACCTTATGCAGTTGTGAGCGCCGTAAAATCCTCTACTATAAAAAAACAACCAAAAAACGCTTACTAAACAGACCTGTTCACTGTATTTTGACCTATATTCTCAATGTCCCCAGCTCCGACATGTTCACTCACGGTGTGTTGACCTATATTCTCATTGTCCACGGTGTGTTGACCTATAATCTCAATGTCCACGGTGTGTTGACCTATATTCTCAATGTCCACAGCTCGGACATGTTCACGGTGTGTTGACCTAGATATTGTCAATGTCCCCGAGCCACAGCTCGGACACATTCAGGGTGTGTTGACCTATATTCTCAATGTCCACGGTGTGTTGACCTATATTCTCATTGTCCACGGTGTGTTGACCTATATTCTCAATGTCCACTGTGTGATGACCTATATTCTCATTGACCTATATTCTCAATGTCCATGGTGTGTTGACCTATATTCTCAATATCCACGGTGTGTTGACCTATATTCTCAATGTCCACAGTGTGTTGACCTATATTCTCAATGTCCACGGTGTGTTGACCTATATTCTCAATGTCCACAGCTCGGACATGTTCACGGTGTGTTGACCTAGATATTGTCAATGTCCCCGAGCCACAGCTCGGACACATTCGGGGTGTGTTGACCTATATTCTCAATGTCCCCAGCTCGGACACCTTCGGGATGTGTTGACCTATATTCTCAATGTCCACGGTGTGTTGACCTAGATTTTCTCACTGTCCCCAGCTCGGACACGTTCACGGTGTGCATGGAGAGCATCACGGCGGTCATCGACGGCCCGCTGGCCTTTGTCACCTTCTGGGCCTTCATGTCGGGCAGCAACTACCGCTACGCCCTGCAGATGATCCTGTCCCTGTGCCAGCTGTACGGAGACGTCCTCTACTTCCTCACCGAGATCAAGGAGGGTTTCGTCCACGGGCCCTTCGGCCACCCGCTCTACTTCTGCTTCTACTTCGTGTTCCTGAACTCGCTGTGGATCGTGATCCCGTCGTGCCTGATAGTGGACTCGGCGCGGCACATCGCGTCCTGCCAGACCGTGTCCGACTTCTACATCGACGAGTACAACAAGAAGCAGGGCATCACCAACAACCACTCCAAGAAGAATAAGTGAAGGCGATCGTAAACCTTTTTCTTTCTTTTTTTTTTCCAGCTGTTTGTTGAGTTACTTTTGTGGTGAAGTGGAAGAATGTATGCATTTTTTTTTGTAAAGGAACGAGGAAGGAGAGAAATGCAAGATAGGAAAAGCTTTTTTTTGGTTCAACCTTATAGACTTTTTTTTTTAGCTGTTTGAGTCATTTTTGTAGGGAAATGGAAGAATGCATAGATCTATTTTTTTTAAAGAACGATGATGGAGTGAAATGCGAGATCAAAAGGGCTTTTCTTGGATTCAACCTTTCAGACTTCGAAACATAAGTTAAAAGTTATATAACAAAATAAGGAGTGTGTCAGTATATGGCTGATTGTGTATTTGTCTATCTAGATCAGACACTTGTTTTGTTTTAAATCATGTTATTCACTGCGGGAATTACAATTGGTGACACTGCAATTTATAAAAGAACACTCTACTCAAAATTTTGAGGACTTCTTGAAGAAAATAGGAAAAACATTTTTTTTCCTACCAAAATAGTATTTCACCTAATTTGGGGGGAATATACAGTGAGAGTTACTACTCACCTACGAATAGGAAGGTATGACTAGCTCTCTCAATGTTAAAAATCTGCCTTAATGCCTGTGAGTTTTTTAAATTTTGTTTTAATGCCCTAGGTTATAATTTCCTTTTTGAAGACTTCATCTTTCCCTAATCTAGCATTGGACTAATAGAATTTCAAAATGCAGGAAAAAGTTTATTGCAGCAGGGAGGATGATATTGTCTGTCTGTAATTAAATTTGCTCCTGTAGTTTGAAAAGATGACATAATGTAGTTTTGCTGTTGTCAGTTATGTATTGCAATCAAGGATGGTATGGTGAAAGTGAGTTTGAACCTTTTGGGTTCGTTCCTGATCTTATCACAAGATGTTATTTTTTCCCTTGCAGAACTGAGTTGGCAGCCGTTCTAATTATTTTAATTAAACAAGACTTTTACAGGACAGGATGAATGGAATTTTTGTTGGGGTTTTTTTGGGGTTTTTTTGGCAACGATTATCTTTTTAATTCAATTTCATTGTCTTTAGAATCTGAGGTTTATGATCTTTCTTTTTTTTACTAAGCGGGGACTAAAGAAAGAAATGCGGGTACGAAGGGCTCAATAACTTGTGTCATGACATGGTGGATTCGGGCACTCGTCAATTTTTCAGAATATGGGGTTATCGGTATAGTCTTAAAAAGCTTATTCGTCTTTATTTTGGTGGGAAAAAAACCCCCATCTGTCTTGAATTGGAAGTCCAGATTTTTGTGAGTGAAGTTGGTGGGGTTAGCCTGGTGTCAGAGGTAGAGTTAGCAAGGACATGGCTGCCAACGTTTTGTGACTTGGAAAGCTTGAGTGTCCTTAAGAAGTGCAAATTTACCTTTTTTGTGTCTTTTTTCAGTATCATGTATGAAATGTTTATCAGTCAAAATCCACACCGAAATAAATTGACTGAAAAGTCTTGAACCCCCTCTCAAATATCGGTAAAGAATGCCCAACTGGTAGAAAATGTTAGTTTCTTGGGTTTCATTATTCTGATGAGCGCCTGATTTCACCATAATGCAACACATCATTCTACTACTGTTATATAATAACGTCTTACTGCCATTTAAGAATGTGAAACCACTGTTCTATAGTTAAGTTGCCCATACAATGCATGATATCCAAATTTGTCCACTGTCTGATTCAGCGTTATATTGCAGCCCGTTGTCATGGCGTGTCTCAAAAGGAAGTTACATATATATCCGTATTTCAAGCACGGTCTTGCTTTAATTCCGTAAAACTTAGCTTGCAGAGAAATGTTCGGTTTGTCTGATTAGGCTTTGTGCAACATGATGACTCCTCCTTGTTCGATTCAGTAATCATAGACTGCTGTGTGTTTGGGTTAGCATCAGAGGAGGGTGGTTGTAGTTGTAATAATGAGTCTGATAACAGAGAAGAAGAAGATTTTGAGTAGTTGCAACATAATCCACAGAGAGTGCTCTTTGATGTATATATATAAGATAGATAAAAATACTTTATTATCCCAGAAGGAAATTTTTCTCGGCTGTACAGCACCGTTAAAAACACATGCAGGTATACATAAAAGATTTAAATTATATATTACTCTCATTAGAATTCAATATGTGAAAAGAGAAGTAAAGCTGACAATATGTACATATCACATCAGATGCCTCATTCAACCACGTGCAAGAATTTAATTACTAGACCTTTGGAGTTATATAGATACATACTCAAAAGAGCAACACACATCTATGCTTATTCTGACAATAGATATATATATACGCAGCTCGTGAATCTTGACACTCAGGCTTTGGAACTCGCAGATTTCTCATAGATTTCTCTTCAGGGTCACAGAGTTATTGCTCATGCATGACATCATTCTTGGTACACATGTAGTTGCCTTGTTATGTTTTTGTACAAATATTCAGCAGCAGAGAGAATGTCTGGTACCTGTTAAACGTTTTTACTGTCATATCCTTCGCTCTTTTCTTTTTTTTGTCTTTGTCTTTGATTTGTTTTGTTGTTTATTGTAACGAAACATTTCGGTGCTCGTTGGTGGACTAGAGGTATAAGGACAACATTAATGATGTCACCTTTGGGGCTCATATGACCTTATGCAGTTGTGAGCGCTGTAAAACCTCTACTAAAACAATCTTATGGCCTTATGCAGTTGCAAGCACCGTAAAACCTCTGCTAAAACAATCTTATGGCCTTATGCAGTTGCGAGCACCGTAAAACCTTACTAAAACAAACGTTAATGATGTCAGGGCCGTATGAACATCATCGTGTTAAAACATGTGGTTCGTCATCTAGAGTTTATTTATAATGTTGACTGGTGACTACTTTTTGGTCTATTTTATTGACTGTTGCTTGTAGTATAAAACAGGTCCTGTAGGCTGTCCCTGTCGTTTTATGCAAGAAAAATTCTGAAATTATGCAAACTGAACCCGAAAATGTGAAATTATGCGATTTTGTTAATTTTAACAAAGAATGATAAAGGGACAAAATCAGAAATTATGCAAAAAATGATCAAATTTTGCTAAATTATGCGGGGTGCATAAAACCACGGGGACAGTTTAGGTGTTTATTACTTTAGTGCCACTGGGTTGTGTTTTTTAAAAATCTATTGTTGTGAAGAAATGTGAGCAGTATTAGTGTGTAGTACATGTGAGTAGAGGCCTGACAGGTGGGATTGTAGCAGCCCCCACCTCCTGAATTGTGTTTGCAGATTAGAGGATGAAATACATTTACAGTCATAAGATTTTGTTTTAAAACTACAGTAAATTTGTTGGCAAAGTTTTTTTGCACAATGAACAGTTTCTTGCTTTTGTCTTTTTTGCTTTAACCCTTTCCACCCACGCAGCGAGCACAGAGAGCAACCCTTTCCCCATGGACCACGATGCTGATGCGGTACATGCTATCTCCTGTCCCTGTCGTTTTATGGAACAAAAATTTTGAAATTATGCAAACTGGGCCCAAAAATGTGAAATTATGCGATTCTGTTTAATTTTAATAAAGAATGACAAAGAAAAATAATCAGAAATTCTGCAAAAAATTATCAAATTTGGCTAAATTATGCAGGGTGCATAGAACCATGGGGACAGTATATGGCTCCGTCGCCGATCGGCGTCCCGTTGGGGGCAAAGTGTTAAAAAATAAAAATATCGGTCGTTTGATTAAATTAATTCGTTACATGTATGGCGTAGGCACACTCACTGGGCATGCCCATAGGATGACACTGCTGATGATCCTGGTTCGAATCACCAATGGAGTGTTCTCGAATTTGGAAAGGGGGGGGGGTTTCAATTATGCTGCAGTATTCATTCATAGGGGATGTTATTATAACCATAGCATTACCATTTCGTCATCAGTTCATGGTGGATGAACTACAAGCAGTCTAGCACGCACACAACGAAGAGATTTTTGGCTCCTGAATTTTTTTTAAATACACGTTTTTCTTTGTATTTAAGATACGTACATAGCGAATTCGTACATTACAGAAACACTTTCACATCTCGTCGATTTTGTCCTGTGCGTGCTAGAGAATTTTTATGAATATCCATACCTTATGTTAAGGATTCCTCTATGGATTTGATCGGTGCTTCGATGTGATTGGATGTGTTTTGACACCTCCTTGATGTGCTAATACTGTACTTTGTGCAGCCAACAACCGGTACTTTTGTCTCATTTTCATCACTCCAGGAGTATGGAGGAGTAGAGTTATTCAATTAACCAGCCTCCTGAATTGTCTAAACTGTGTTGATAGGGGCTTAAAAACACTTCTATATTTAAATCTACATATATATATATTTACTAAATTTATCAACTCTGACTGTACTTTTTCTCTTTGTTGTTCGTTTTTTAACTCTGTCGAGCTGCACAGGAGAATGACGTAGTTGCACATATATCTATTATTTGGTTTTATGTTTCGTTGTTGTTTCATTTTTCATTTCAAATTTATGTTTCAAATGTTGGATCATGTGAATCTGAGAAAGGAAAATTGTGGGCATTGTCCTTGTTGGTGTCTTCTCTCTATCTGTCCAATTCAAATGACGTCTGACATATTGTGGGGGATTCTTTTCCCACTTTTTGGGTCTTTTTCAAATGTTTTATCTTTCAAGTACCTGATGTTTTCCCGTCCCGTTTAGCCAGGTGACAAGAAGGAATCATGTGAGAGTTGGAAAGAAATTTATTCTATTTTCGTTTGAAGAAATTGTGTACTTTAGTGGTAGGCCTACTGATTTTCCGGACAGACATGAAAGTCTGGATCTGTGGAATTAACTGGATATTGCACTACTATGGAAAGATTGCTTTGATACATAATAATACACCACATGAGACAATGATCATTTCATTTTGAGTCCCCGAGCACGAGTTTCCATGGGGTCCAAAGTGTTCAGAATTTTTTTCATAGCCAGACAGAGGCTTCGTGAATCTGGTTCAGTCGTCGAAGCTGTTGTGGTATTTTTTCATACAACTGGATATCGTCGACCTGCTTTTCAGATGCACCAGTACTTGTACTAAGCCCAACATTTTGAATAAAAGTTTTCTTGCAGATTCTTAAATCTATAGTATTGGTTGCAAATCTTCAATGAGTGTGTCTCAACATTTCATCGGCCAGTTGTTTAGATGAACAGCTCAAAATTTTGACTTTTTTTTTTTTAATTGCAGTTTTTTCATGTATTGTATAGGCTGTGTGTGCTCAAGAAATATGACTTGGTTGAAATTCTTCATGTTGAAAAGGCCAAGAATAGATCAGATATACATAAAGAAAAGTTCGGTTGTTACAATTGTTTACAGAGTGAGAGTGAAACAGTTTTTTTTCCCCTACTCTCTTTGAACATTTTTGTCTTTCGGGGCTGAGAAGATTTGAATTTGAACAGCCGGCCATGCCGACAGCGTGTGATTCGGTGTGATCAGATTTCTTTTTCTTCAACATTGGTTTTTTTGTTGGTTCCGACTTCTCTTTTGTCCCTTTCGTAGCAGCTATTTTTCTATGTAGATTTTGAGTGCTGGATCAAAATACAGAGTCACTATGGGTTTTTTTTGGTAAAGTTTCTCAAGTCCCTTCCTGTTTCAGCAGAGAGTGTTTTTTCTGAGCGCTTGTAAATTTTTAGCTTTCTGGTTGTTGTTGTTTTGTTTTTGTTTCTGCTGTACAGAATCCAGTCCATGTTTTTGTAGCCACATTGAGATTTTTCTCTGGTTGTGTTCAGATTTTACTTTGCTGCGCACCAAGTCTCAGATATATGACATTATATGTTCACACTGTTCATTTCATCCAGGGTGTCTATTGAGCTGTCCCCGTCCATCATTTCATGCAAGAAAAATTATGAAATTATGCAAACTGAGCCCAAAAATGTGAAATTATGCGATTCTGTTAATTTTAACCCCAAAAAATGATCAAATTTGGCTAAATTATGCAGGGTTCATAAAACCACAGGGACAGGTTGGGATGTTTGAACATAACCAGTTTATCCCCAATTTTAAAATATTTTAAAAATATTTTTGTTTCTTGAGGGGGGGGGGGTTGAACAGTTTTGGGGGGTTTTATTAGGGAATTGCTGACAAGGAAGGGGGGCAAAGAGTTCCCTCCCCTGTACTTTTTTTGGTAATTTGGCAAGAGATGTTGGCAGCTAAAAACTTTTGATCATCGCTTAATGGCCGTGCCGTGGACTGGTTGCCGTGGAATTTGCTTTTCTTTCGTTTTGTTTTCTTCTCTCGCATAAACTGGCAGAGATACACAGGAAGTCCATCCGTCTTTTGTTGTGCCATATATAAATTCTTTTCTCTGCGGCACGTGGATAGTTTCTTGATTTGATTGTTGTTTGTCAGTTCACCTTTCTATCCTTCTCTTTCTCCTGTCTCTGACTATAAATGTGTTCCTTGAGACACTTAAGCTAGTCTCTTGATTGCTGTTTACCTCAGTATCCTTCTTTCTCCTCCCCCAATAGGCTCTCGG